ACAACGACAACGACAACGACAACGAAGATCTGTACCAACCTCGCGTCAGCTTAAGAAGATCAGTTTATAAGATCACATAAATAAATAGATCTTTGATGCTATTACTCAGTCAGTTCAAATCTGTCTTCCTGCTATAGTAATCAAACATTTGTTCGTTCTCAAGTTGCTAACTATATGTGACTGATCTCCTGTGGATCACGACGTGATTCTCCATGAGCACATTTTGTGTTCCCAAGTGGGAGAGGAGGAAAAACGCGGAACCAAACCGGCCACATTCTTGCATTAGGACGCAGACGAAAACCATGATGGCATGTAGTTCACACTGCGCCAAAGTAGTCGTGAGTGCTTTTCTATCGTGAGCGTTGATTTCGCTAAACTCTCACAATCAAACCAAGTACTCACAAGTTGCGGTTCACTTCCACTTAAGGTGCCTCACTTCTGGTCAAGGAACACCTGTTGTTCATAAGTGCGACTCTTTTGAGCTCCCTATGACAGAATCTAGAGAGTGGTCCAGTACTCGTAATCAATACTAAGAGCAAAATGTCTTGTGTGAAAAATATGGCGTATTCTCCGATTGACTGCAATCCATTGGGAAGCTGTAATGTGTGCTAGAGAGGAATAGGAATACCTTGGAGAAGTCTGTTCAGTCAAGTTCAACACTCATGTCGTGGTTAGTAGATTACTAGCGAAGCAAGTCATTTTTTCCTGAGCAATTGTACTTCTCAGTGCTACCCACAGTCTCTTAAGTACTGAGACTTGACTTGTTCTTATACTCATAGTGCAATGCTGTATGTATGTATGAGAAATCTCATCTGTGAAATACAGGTAATTTGAAGCCACTCTCCGCGGGCTAATGTTATCGAACAACGATTCCGCTCGCACTTGCAAAATAATTTGCATATTTTCACTTTGTTCTGTCCACCTCAAGAGGGTTAGAGGAGGTTTTAAACAAAGGCAATAACCAGTTAGTGATAGGAAACCTAATCGTGTAAAGCATAAAGACAAGGATAAAACTTTTGACTTTGATCAATTTTTGAGATATGAACTACCAGTTTTACTTCGTTAAGCATTGTTAAAGTTGACTGATAGCATATCTGGCCTATACATTGACTTCCGGTGGCTTACCGAGGTCTGTTATCAATGCTTCAACTCTGGTACTAATTCACCGACCTCGTAAAATCGACGAGCTTGGTGAACAAGGTATTCAGGATCGAACCAAGGATCATGTATGCATTGCAGGGCACCTCTAACCACTGCGCGCCTGTGCGTAAAGCGTCCCCTGTATCACCAGTCTCCAGTTAATCGTCGACTGTCTGGAGCAGGCGCCAGTAAACATTCCATTTCTCGTGGTTGCGTGCAAGAGTAGCCCAGTGGGTTCCGCTCGCTCTAGGGACTCGTTGAGCATAGTATCTTCCTTCTAGGATTCTCGTGAACGCTGATTATTGGGTCGGTGGTTTTCCTGCGGTGCGTTTGACATCCCGAGGAACCGGGTTGCTAACGACTCTTGTCCACGGGTTGTCGTTCATACACAGTGCATGTCTAGTTCACCTTATCTTCGACAGCTTGGTGTGGTGTATAGAGCGGCGTCTTTGATTTTTCATCGTCGACCTAGGTCGGAGCATCGGAGCCACTCCCGCACTTGTGCCATACGGTATACTCCTAAGGTCGTCCTTTCGAATGGGCGTAACGCTGAGTGATCTTTCATCCTGCCTAAGTAGCGACCTCGTTTCTGATGTTAAGGCAGCGAGAATCGTACAGTCGAAAAGTTAGACACGGAGTCGGGTGTTCTTTGTTCTCTTTACTACATCCTCGATGCTCTTGAAAACTCCCAAAGCCGCTCGCATCCTCCTGCTGAACACTGGGTCTTAGTCGTTAATCGTGTTTATTGTCCGACATAAATAGACGTAGCTGGACCATTCGGAGATATTCGTTCCGTTGAGGGTGAATAGGACATACGTAACCAATCCGTTCCTTATGAACATCGTTCTTATGAGATGTAGTCAAAGACCAATTTTTGCACAGGCCTTTTCAAAGTCGGCAGTCAGCAAGCACTCGTTCGACTTAGCTAATGTTTGGTGTTATAAGAGTGATGTTATCAGCAAAGAGAAGATGGTGTAACTGGCGGCCATCGATTTTTACTCCCATGTTGTCCCATTTCAGTATTCGCATGACATTCTCGAGGGTGGAGGTAAATAATTTTGGCGAGATGCTATCGCGTCGCCTATTCCCTTTTTCGACGTTGATATAAATACCATTGCAGAATGGCGATATTTTGCCTGTTGCTCGGGCGATTCCGCACTGGCGTATCAGCTCGATGGTTTTTAAAGACAGACACATCTTGGTGACTTTCGAACTCTGAGCTTTCATAGCGCTTATGAGAAGATGTTGAATGAACCATCGTATTCCTCGATGATGTTATCGAGAATAGTATCTTCCCGAAAGCCACTAGTGAATTGAATAGATCCCACTCTATGGTAGTTTTGAAGCCTTGTTTTTTGAATTTAGCGGGTTTTTCTTCTTTCTGCGAGAAGTAGAATCTTGCTCGAACGGGGCGATGGTCTGATCTCATGTAGAATCTTTGGACAACAGCGATATTGGTAAGGTAAAACCTACGATTTACTATAATGCGGTCTTTTTCGTTATGGTACTCTCCACAGTTATGGTACTCTCAGCTGGAGACTCCCACATCCAGCGTTACGAGTAGGGCTTCTAAAATTTCGAATGAGCAGAGTTGTCTTGGTCGTCGTGATAAACTCAGGCAACCGCCCACTCTGCCCGTTCCATTCTAATCCGTGGGTCCCAATGGGGCGTTTCTTAGCGGTAAATCTCCGATAATAACCTTGAAGAATGGTATGGTCTTCTCTGTAGAACTTCTCCAAATCCATACAGAACACTTCGTCTTGTTTGAATATATCTTTCTACTTCTGTTCAGCAAACACGTGCTATTTTATTTCTTTATTCACACACAAGCTGACGTTTCGGCGGATTTCGCCTTCCTCAGAGCCCGGAAGGGTCAAGTTGACAGCAATTCGCTCGGCCAAACACCTCCATAACCAAACAGAGAAAACGCTGAACTAAAATTTCAATCACATTTAGCAAAGCTCTGCACACTCACCGCTTTCTATGAGTCTTCCACTGAGTATATCGCGTGAAAACCGACCGTACGGCATTCACATGGAAGCGTAATGTGCTCTTCCCATCAGAATAACAGGTTTATATGCTGTCCAATATCACGCGTGATAACGAGGCATTCCTCCCTACGGTTCATTTCCGGATTCTTGGAATTAATCCAGAATGCCTCTAGTTTTGCGCGCTTGTGTTCTCGATTCTGGTTACGATCCTCGCGCAAGAATCGAGAACACAAGCGCGCAAAACTCTGGAGGCATTCTGGATTAATTCCAAGAATCCGAAAATGAACGGCAGGGTGGAATGCCTCGTTATCACGCATGATATTGGACACTATATAAACCTGTATATTCAATCAATGCCAAGGTTAATAGAAAGTCGGACTTGGGAGTTACTTCGTCTTGTCTTCGTCATAGCTTAATGTTGGCGCGTAAACGATGAAGATTGTCAAAGCTGGTATTGATGCACATCTCTTCAACCGTAAACGTCCCTTTTGGGTTGTTCGTTGTTCGACTGGACCGATATTCATAGCCAAACTCGTATTGACGGGAACGCCAACACTGTCGACTCCTCTACTGTCGCATATTCCAAGGAAGAGCAACGGTTCTTCTCCGCTGATATACACGGCGTTGAATGCGGGTGTCTCCTCATCTCGCCCTGCCCAATGACGTCGCATCTCATCGTTCTAGTCCGCATAGTCAATTCGCTCATGAAGGACTCAGCTGTATGTTAGCGTGCATTGTACGCGCAGAGGGTCATCGTAGTCCTTCGAGATCAAGGCAAGCTCGAATGGTGCTGAGATTTTGACAGCCTCTCCGTTCTTGTCCTTCAGAACTCTGCCGTTTCTATAGGGCTCCTTCTGTGTCAGAGGAATGGGGCTCGTCTATTTGGTTGTGTTTGGCTTTTGATACCCACGTACAGCTTGCTGAGTTCTGAATGTGAGGGTTGGGTATACTCACTGCTAGCTTGCTAGTCTCTCCCAGAGTAGAATAGGAGCTTATTCGTTAGAGACCGCTCCTAACCGCCTTCCATATACTTCGTAGTCACTTCGTTGCAGGATCTTTAGCCGAATTGAAGCGTAGAATAGAAGATGGACATACGAGAACATGCAGGAAATGTGTCATATCGGAGCAGCAGAATCACCCTGTTTTGGACCTACCTGCGTCTCAGGAAAGCATAAGATCAGGCAATCGAATAAGGTACTGTACACCTTCGTTACGCTGTTATTGGCACAAACGATTAGCTAAGAAAAACCTTGAATTCCTTATCAGTATATCTTAGAAGAAAAGAAATATAGAAGTGCAGCAGAAAAATTTCCTCATTGACCAAATGTCGGTTTTAACAAGGACTTGGAGACGGTGCGTAACAAAATATTTCATTACCGATCACTGTGTTTAAAAGTACTAGAAACCTCTGGTCCTATGACATCAACTTATTCAGTATCACTGGGTGAATGAAGAAGTTCATATTTATCACCCTCGACTCACGTTTCTGGTCGTTCCGCAATAGTTGTTCAGGCCGAAAAGTTCATTAACAACTCTGGGTCCTTGTGGATCTTGTAGCCCGTGATTACACTCGACGCTCTGCTCCTGAAATCCGGAACTGTTCGACTGTACTTGATACTGGCAGCCGAACAGACCAGTTCAGGTCTGGTTTCCGAGCGACCGCCACTTCTCCGACGAGCTCGCCCTCCGAGGACACGCCGCAGCGTGCTGGCCGCGCCGCGTCGGGTCGGCGCCGATAATTGCGGACTGAGGCGACGCCGCGCGGATTGAGGCGCGGCCGCGGCTTTCCGCGAGGCGGATGTCCCATTCCGAGGGCGACGCCATGTCGTCCCATTTGCCTCTGTGCGGCTGAAATCATGGTGCGGTCCACTTGTGCTCTGTGCTTCTGGAAAATAAATCATAGTCGGAATAATTTGGCCTTGCGGAACACAGCTGAGTTTTGTCTGCTTGGTTTCTGGTAGCTGGACCCTAAAATCGTGATTACCCTTTAAAATGACTTTCTTTATTGATTAAATAGGCTTTCGTCATTCTGAGGCTTTCGTATGCTTGTTTCATTTGATGATTGTTGCGCCATGCTTTCCACCACATTTAAATTTTTGTATCGTCATTGTCGTATTGATTGCTGTGACTACGGTGCCACTCGCAAGGCGGCATTTCCCTATCGGTTCCTCGGGTGGGTCTATGGGCCTCTGTTGTCCGTACGGCGTATTTTGTTATTTGTTTGGCGATATCGTTTGAAACGTTTTGCGGCTCACGGGGGTATGAGGTACTTTGTGCTCCATGGCTGTGAGTGTACTCATTGACTTACCACAGGTAGCGGATAGATGGCTAAGTGCAAAGCAAAGCAGAACATTTCTTAACCGAGATACGGATGGATCTAGTCCCTGTTGCGCTGAACTGACATATATTTTCATGTGCTCGAAGATGTTTGATATTTGAATTACTGTCCTCGCGAGTAATCGTGCGGGTCCCAGCACAGTGTTCATTTCACTAGGATCCTCTCAGCTGATCATGATTCTTTCCTTGAAGTCACGAGATATCAGTGTTTTAGTTTTATCAGTTCGTTACTCTGGTCGCTAATATTTTTTGATTGCAAAGTGATTTGCCATCTTGAAACAACGGTATTTTACAGAACGAGACGACTTACGATACTGGTCCGTTACTTACTGGGTTTCCGGATGGAGGTGTCATGGATGGGTGTGCTTGTATCCATATGGATTTTATCATGCATTCGATAAGCGAGGCGCTGTCATAGGTTTCCCGCAACAAACAAGTCCCTGTAAGAAGGAAACAAGACTACATGAAAAGATACGACATATTACTCTTGAATACAAGCAACGCAGGCGATGTACCAGCCATCCATTGCCACTTTCTCTAAAAGCTTGGAATCAAAACTCCCGTATGGCTGCCTACACGTGGCTCTCGAAGTACAGTGGGCAGCTCTAGGATGTGAGCAGGGTGAATGTTAACTTTAGTAATGCTCGCTCCAGATTATTGATGGATAGCCTGATAATGATTATAGTACGCGCTTTTATGCTGTCGGACACCAAAATACTCTTATTTGAAGGAAATATGTTGACTTCCCATAATATCACCAGCGCCGACAATGAATATTGTTGTTAGGACTAGAAACTCTAGACAATGATAAATCCTTGCTCCATTTTTAGCTAGACAATTAGCTTATTGTGGGACTGTGACTTTCCAGGGATTTGCTGGGAGTGATGCTGTCGTTCGTTGGTGGTAGTGTTGGGTCTGGATCGATATATTTCGCAATGGCCGCTTGTTTGTTGTATCCATGCTCTTGCATCACGCTTATCCCTATCTGGCTCCTGATAGAAATCGGATCTACGATCCTGTGTGACTCATTTACTAGCATTCCTCCACCAGAAGTGGTCGTAATCGCTTTGGAACACTTGCTTTCTGAATTCCAGTACATATCTACTATCTATTTTCCATGCACATAGGCGGCTACAACAATATGCACTGCTTTCAGTTTGTCCGATTTCAGGGTAGATAGACCAAGCGCGGTTGCGAAATGGCTGAGGGACCAGCTGAATGCGGCGTGCAGGTACTCCTTCATTGCATTTGAAGCTTACATATGCATATATATCTTTAACACATTCGCGATGACGTGACTTCTATAGATGTCGTTTGTAAAGGGAAACTGTGGCGGGTATGACCTCTTTTAAGATCATTCTCTAATGGTTTATTTTGGGACAAAAACTTCCTTGGATTCTGCGTAATCAATTCTTAGTCTGTCCAACTGATGCTTTGGCTTGTTTCAACTGAGAAAAGCTTTGTTCTGCACCTAGAAACATGTAAAAAACCTTCTCTTGGACAAATTCTTTGACCGGTAGTTTGGTTGGGTTTCGACTGTTACTTCACTTATAGTAGATAGAATGAGTCATAATTATCTTATTGTATGAGCTGATATGAAAGATACAGATATGAACTCAGCATTAACTGCATAGCCTTCCAAATGCCTACTTCATTGTGTTCGCATGGTGCACCATAGTAGCATGTAGTGAATAGTAGCGGTTGTGTGTGGCGCAGAGGTTGGAGGCGCCATGCAATACACGTGGAATCGATCCCCGCGTCCCAGGCTCACCAAGCCTTCTATCTCTCTGGCATCGGCAAATTGGTACCGGACTTGTCTGGGAAGATAGGAGCATTGGCTCGACAAATCGGTAGGCCGCCGTGAGTCGTTGTAAAGGCCAGATATGCGTTCAGTCACCTCCGACGATGCTTAATGAAGTCGAATGAATGGCGCGTCCCTCTGGGATAGATCAACGCCGAGAGCTGTATTCTTTATCCTTTATTAGTAAATAGTATCATGTATACCATTCATATCCATAGAGCGACTGGTCTCCGCTACAGTGCTGAGTTGTTCAAAATCTCTTAAGTCCTCTAGTTAGCGAAAAATTATCTTTTGTTGTCAAAGAACGGGCAAGTCCTTAACAGGTGGAAATTAGGCGTTGTCGCGTATGTGTTAGGAAAGAAAACAGGGGAAGGTTAGTGCTTCGTTATATTGAAGCTTTAAAAGGAAATTTATCTATAGGCTTATACTGAAGGTTGTACTTGTTGTTGTTTTCATGCAAATATGAAATCAGAACTGTACGACCGATAGATATGTGTGCTGTGTAGCTATTACCCTTACAAGTGACTGTGTTCTTACACACAAAAGTGTCGTATCGTCTGATTTCATGATGTTTTCCATCTCATTGTTCTTGTACCGCAGGTATTCTGTCGCATCCGACCACTGAATAAAACAGAGGAGAAAAATGGAGATCGGTTCCTGCCGAAATTTCCATCCGAGGACACTATTTCCATTGGTGTGAGTAGTATATTGTCTTTGCTTTACATACGTCTTTTCCTCGTCTTACATTCACTCTCTCTCTCTGGTTTTCATGGAATTGTACAGCCTTACAAAATCTACTGTGTCCGGTTGGCACGATTTGTATTGATTTGTATGTGTTAGAGTTCTGGGCTTAAACAGGTGTGTAATCAATGCATATGAGTATAACGTAAACCCTCTACTTTGCTGGTGAGTGGCCTTGCAGAAAAAAACATAAAGAGAGGGAAGTGTTTTTATATGAATTGTAAAATTGCAAATAGCGGCTATAAAACACGACTGAGGAAAAGGTGAAGCGAAGGACTCACATGGTGTGGTGGTGAACGCGTCAGTCCCGAAAAAGGTAATATCGTGTTCGTTCCCCACGGCAGACACTTGGGGTTCGGAGTTTTGCAAATATCACACATCCATTGTAGTTATATCGTCAACTCTTTATTCACACATCACTTATAGTTAAAATAGTGAAGGAGTTTAAAGCTGCTTTCAATGCCGTTTCTCTCACTCGATAGATAAAATTTTGAAATTTAGTCAAGTGCGAATTACCTGTCGTAGATTATTCGAGAACCCTGTTGTTTAAACGGACGCAAATTTATGGACTTATTATTTGACAAAATGTAACTTTATGACGTTAATTCAATGAGATATATACGGACACATTTAGGAAAAATTGACACCGCTTTCTTCTCTTTGGTTGTTTTTAGCCATAAATTCGCTCTTGATTAGGAGTGGAATAAGGGCATCGTTTTTTGGCTAGATGTCGTGTTAGATTATCGCAAGTTTTTCTTGTTGAGTGGATGATTAGCAATCATAAGGTGAAGTTCCGTGCTGGTATAAATGGGACGATTGGTTTTCTGACGCCGATTACCTGTAACTGCTCAGCATGTATGTGACTCGTGTAGGAGCCCATACCGCGTTACATTTTATAACAAAAGTGAAAGGAATATTCTTAAGGTGCAAATGTGGACCTAAGCTTTCTATGAAAATGGTCGTCTTTTTCAAGCGTATAAGTTCTACGAATTAATGCCACGTTTAAGTGGCATCTTAATGGACAGGGGTGGTTCATAGCGTTCATGACGTCTTAAAACTATGCAGAAACATATTGCTTGTTGTCTATTTCCCGCATGTCCCGAATGAGCCGTTTGTGGTCGACGATGCCAGTGGGAACAGATGGCCAGGACCACTGGTGCGGTGATGTCTTATAGCTCGATTGATCGTATCGCACTCATCTATGTGAATTGGTTGCACAACATTTTCTACCGCATGGGGAGTGGCATTGTGCACTGTATTCAGCTTTTTCCAAATTAATGGGAAAATATCTGTTGATTATTGATGTGGCTCATACTACATCAGTAATTGTGTCCAACTGCATGAGGTAGTGAAATTTCTGTACAATTCTGGTGCTACCGAACAAATTCTTTCATATAAAGGTGTAGTTTTCTGAATCACTCAGGTGTTCTGAATGTCGAAAAATATTGTCGGCATTTGTCAAAAAAATAGCGCACTTGCTAATCTGGTGGTAAATGGGCATGTCCCACAAAACTGTTTTCCAAATAAGAATAATACGTACTGTGAAGCAAAGTTTTTCTGTAGGATTTCTTGCTAAGTGAGGATGCTGTGACCAGTAAAAATTAGGTATGAATTGGCTTTTTAAATGATGGTGTGCTCTAACTTTTGGTTCAGGTTTTGGTTCTGCAGCCTTACTGGTAACAACAACCTTGGGGTTAAATTCGGAATGCGTTTTTTTTCATCGTTTGACATCACGTATGCAGATCACAGCGCTTCTTACATTCGATTCGTTTCCTCTCATCAATTAAGGTTTTCGAATTTTTCGTATGTGAGTTAGGCTGTTGGTTGAGAATTTTAATCTTCGTCATCATTGTTGTTGATCACTGGACGAGTCAGTTCTCCCTGGCATCGTAGGAGAGGCGTGCTAGGACCATACCACTCGGATTAAAGGGAATCAGCTGATCCCAGCTCGGTGTGGTGTTAATTTCTCGAACTCGGAGAGATGGGAGGCTTTGGGACCCGGTGCGGTGTTGAAGCATCGCCTGGGTAGGTTATGTCTTCTGCACAGTGAGGTGCATTATTTAGTGCTTTAAATTAGTAATAGTATCAGCAATGTACAATGAGTCAACCGCATTTAGGTTAGAAAAGAAATTGTGAGGTTTCTGGAAAGTGATGCATCAGCAGTCGCAATGTATACTTATTTGGATACCTGTTCGGCCCACCCTCACCTGTTGCGCGGACCACAGCATAATCTCCATTTTTCGGAATTTTGCTGGTTTAGCCACGATGGTTCCCTGGAGTCCCGATATCAGTCTGGCTAAAGTCTGTCCCAGGTCGTCTTTTTCATCATCCGACTGGTTTGATACTATGACGGTGGTGATTCCTGGTAACGGTTTACTCTTAGCTGAGTTTCCGGAGGAAACGTCGGGCTCCTCAGCTTGAGAGACCCTACGAGGGGATGAATCCACCGCTGTATATCGGATTGTGACACCCATGAACACTTCCCACCCACGATGAGGAGGTAAACCCTTGGGAGGAAAACACCACACACGATTTGAAAATGCAGAGACGAGGTCATATTTCCGTGCTACTACGACTTCTATGTTAATATGGACTCATATTATGCTAAGAGAAAAGCCGGGCGGAAGAATGGAAATTCCAGCAATTTACTTCACAAATTCATACTTGCATATGCTGTTGAAGGAAGCTTACTCGCATGCGAGGTATTTGGTAAGGGGTCATTTGGAACATCGGTAGTTTCGAAACTTTTATGATAGAGATCCACATTCCACTGGCGAGGCAAAACGAACCATTTCTCAATCGCAAGTGTTAGAATGCTACGAGAAATAGAATGTCTGTGGAATCCAACGACTTGCTTTTCAACTGTTAGAAAAGGACGAAGCATCGCAATACATTCTGAGACCAAATTTGTGTCTGAAGAAAGCTGTGGCGAGAGATCCATGCTTGACGGACTAGATTGGGCACTCTTCTTGAAATCTAAGTGATCCCCTAGAGTAGAAATATATTGCCAAGAAATAGGCAAAATGCGTAAATAACTGCAACGCTTGCGTTGATCATTGGTATGACAACGAAGTCTTTGGAGATGAAACTGTTGTTGAAATGATTCCCAAAGATATATTTATTTGTATTTTCTTATGAATTGATCTTGTTGAGCTGATGCGAAACTGTTTTGTGCCGAGGTTTGTTGAAAGTCCGTCATTTGAATTGTTCTCAAAGAATTGCTAGTGCTAGAAGCCTATAACGCCACATGTTGGGATACGAGAATCCTCATCCATATAATTTTTACTTCGATTCGTAAAGGTTACAATGAGCTACAATACGTGCTTAATGTACAATACTTGATACGCGAATGGCCCGTCTTCAGTGGTTGTGCGGACCGTAGCATAATTTACACTGCTTCGGAATATTGCTGGTTTAGCCATTGTGTTTCTCTGAAGCGCCGTTGTTAGCCTAGCCAAGGTCTGCCCCAAGTCGTTATCACCGCCCTTGTATACCAGAGCAGCCCGACACCTAGGAACAGCTCTCAGCCACGATTAGGCTGTAAACCGTTGAGTGGCCGCGGTTTATAACCAGATCTATTTTAATGCAATGGATGAAAAGTTATAGCTCGAAAAGGTTTAAGAAGAAATTTGTTAAGTAGGGTAATCATAACATTATGAATATGAGTACGGTGATCGATCAAATCGTAATAAATGTTGTAATATGGTGTAAACTCTTGGCTTAGTTTGTGTGTTTAAATTTTTGAATAAAGCCCGACAAAATGGCTATGAAATTATGGTTCCTTTTAGCAACTTATGTCGTGGAATGGATCATGTTGAGAAATATATACATATATAATATGAATTACAATCAATATTAATTTTGGTTACATAAATTTCTGTGATTTGTTTGTAATGAATATGACTAAAATTCATTGGATGTCTCATTTTACCTTTTTCCTTTAAATCTATGAAACTTGGTCTTTGAATGTATCCAAGAATGTTACAGGGTAAAGTGTTCGTGTACGATAAGGTTTTCAAACCGAACACAACTCAAGAACAAGTTTATATGGGTGCAGCTTACCATATAGTACAAGATGTATTGTCTGGCTATAATGGAACTGTGTTTGCATATGGGCAAACGTCTTCGGGTAAAACTCATACGATGGAGGTAAGCTGTTAATTTACTATTTGGAGAATCCGTTCAGCAGTCTATTTGAATTTTTTATGTAGTTCTTACTGAACTTTTCAGGGAACAATCGATGATCCAGTTATGCAAGGTATTATACCACGAATAGTCCACGACATTTTTAATCACATATATACGATGGACACGGAACTTGAGTTCCACATAAAAGTGTCCTACTTCGAAATCTACAATGAGAAGATTCGTGACTTACTGGATCGTAAGTTTTTAAAATTTTGTCCAGCGCCCTGTACGGTGGCCTGAGACACGAAGTCAATCTATGGTTCTATTACCATATTGTACCCAATTGCCAGTTTGTCCGTTAATTTTCGTTAAAGGAAGAACAATTAAAGGTTTTGTAAGTCTTTGTCCTACACAAAAGGTGTTTATTTGGTTGTTTTGAGGCATATGAAGAACGGTAACCTTTCCATGTAATTTTACATTCCTGATTTTAACTGTTTTGCACTAAGGAACATTTAAATAAATGCAGCTCACTTTGCCCGATTGTAGGGACGAAGTATATTTCCTTGTAGTTTTTGAAGAGGTCTAGAAATAATACCTGTCTTTTTCTTTGGAAATGATTTCGAGCAGCCTTCTTTACTCTCCTAGTTAAACGGTTGCAAGTCGTGCTTGATTCTACAGTGCAGGATGGATACAGTACGAACACAAACGCAATCATACGCATACGCATATAATTATTTTTATAGCGAAGCTATATAGTTGAAACAGAGCGTCCATGCGGAGTCCACCTACATTCCAGGGCAAGTACAGGTCACCTTTGATTCTTAATCCCGAAGCCATCACCCCATGTAGTCTACCTTGTAACTCACTCGCGATTTGTCCCGTGATGGACATTGTGTGAAGGGTATTCGTTGCATGTTTATTTCTAAAGAGGCTTTCTGTTTTCAGCTGAAAAGGTTAACCTTTCAATTCATGAAGACAAAAATCGTGTTCCATATGTGAAGGGCGCAACCGAGCGGTTTGTTGGAAGTCCCGAAGAAGTGATGCAAACAATTGAAGATGGAAAGAGTAATCGTCAAGTTGCTGTTACAAGTGAGTTGTTATGCTACTGGTTATGCTCAGCTCTGATCTATTGTGTATTATTCTTTTCGATTTGTTTCGATTCTCTTGTTTAGATATGAATGAACATTCATCTCGTTCTCATTCGGTTTTCCTTATAACCGTAAAACAAGAACATCAAGCAACAAAAAAACAACTTGCTGGGAAGCTCTATTTGGTAGATTTAGCAGGTTCTGAAAAGGTCTGTTCATTTAAGTTGTCTTCGTGTGCTAGTTTTATAGTTTCCCTCTCACGAAATAACAAATGAGTATTTAGGTGAGTAAGACCGGGGCCCAAGGGACTGTTCTGGAGGAGGCAAAAAACATTAACAAATCTCTTACTGCACTCGGTATTGTCATCTCTGCTCTTGCAGAGGGAACGGTAAGAACTAAGTTTGCTTTTACCGTTAATTTGTTTCATTCTCTTATCTCATTAATTCAGAAATCACATGTACCATACCGAGACTCAAAATTAACTCGCATTTTGCAAGAGTCTCTTGGAGGAAATTCGCGCACTACAGTTATTATCTGTGCCTCCCCTTCTCACTTCAACGAAGCCGAAACGAAATCAACACTAATGTTTGGTCAGCGGTAAGGGAATTATTGCTTTCAGAACGTGTTTTTTACTCTTTATTTTACGTTTTTCTTTCTTCAAACATTCTATTCTCATTCAGAGCCAAGACAATCAAGAACGTTGTCCAGATTAACGAGGAACTTACTGCTGAAGAATGGAAACGTCGGTACGAGAAAGAAAGGGATAAGGTTGGCTTTGAATTTACTATTTCTCGCCGTTTCTTTTCACATGTCATATATATACATATGTGTACGTTGTGTATATGTGTGTGTATATACATATGTGTATGTATATATATATACATATATGTATGTCTACATGCATGCATGTGTGTTTAAACACATTCGCACATATAAAATGCATATTATATATATATCTATTTATGTAGGTTACTCGCTTGTCAACTGTTCTACAAGCTTTGAATCTGGAAATGACCCGGTGGCGAGGAGGCGAGCGTGTAAATGAATCCGATTGGATTAATCTAAATGACACTGCGGGACTCCTAGCTGTTTCCGAAAGTACGCAGTTTTTTTTTTGCGAAATTGAGTCTGATGCCTCTTCCCCATATATGACCTATTGTTTCAGCTCCGACTGACTCAACAACTCCGTTAATGGAAAGATCAATGATCGCACCAGCACCACCAATGCTTACTTCAGTTACTGGTCCCATTACTGATGAGGAGAAGAAGAGGTTTGCTATTTCTGAAAATCAAAATCGATTCTCGATCCAATAGCTTTTTTGTCAATTTTTCTTTGTTTTTAAGGTACGAGGAGGAAAGGGTGAAATTATATCAGCAGCTCGACGAGAAAGATGACGAGATTCAACGCGTGAGTCAGGAACAAGAGAAGCTAAAGGCTCAGGCAAGCAAATCAGTATTTTGTGTATTTTTCCATTGCGTGACAAATTATGGTCATACTTGATACTTGAACGGTCCGTCCTCACTAGTTGTGCGGGTCCAGCATAATCACCATTTTTTGGAGACTTGCTGGTTAAGCTATTGTGGTTCCCTGTAATCCCGAGGACAGCCTGACTAAAGTCTGCCCCAGGTCGTCACCACGACAGGCAGTCGCAGCCCTTATGGATCAGAGGGAGATTCGCCACCATGAGACCTTGATACCAGGACTGTGGTGGATCCTGGTATTGGTTTACTCTTAGCTAGGCTTCCTAATGGAAACGCCGGACTCCTTCTCAGCTTGGGAGACCCTGCCAGGGGATGAGTTCCCCGTTCTACATCGCTGCCCAACACCAAGGAACACCTCTCAGCCACGATGAGGCGGTAAGCCGTGGGGAGAATATTTATGATGCGATGTTTTCTCTAGTCACGCTTATTCCCAAAGAATCTGCTCTTCATGTTCAGGTGTTGATGCAAGATGAATCAATCCAAGCGATGCGAGAAAACGAAGAAACTTTGCGTGAAGAACTCGTACGTATCCAAAAGGAAAGTGACGACAAACAAAATGAAACAAAAGAGGTATAGATACTTTTTTGTTAGTTGTTTTCCTCATAAATAGTCTTCAATTTCCAGATGATTTCTGCCATCGAGGACATTGCTGTTCAACTCGAGGTGCGGAATGCTGAGTATGAGAAATTGAAAAAAGAGCTGGAAATCGTGATGGTTGGTGAAGATTAGTGCTATAGTTGTGGTTTTAATTATTTGTGTTTGTGATCTGCTGTCGTTATTTTTGGTGTTGTCGTATTAGTAAAGACGGAAGAATACTTGTTCTCTCACTAGGAGGAGAATCAGCAACTCGAAGACGGTGCAAGCCAGGCAAGGAGTGCGCTGAATGCTCATCTCGATGAGTGCGGTCCGAAAATCAAACACTTCAAGGATGCCATCTACAACATCATTCGGGAATACAACATTGCTGACATTGTCAGTTTTTTAAAGCAGTTAATTTTGGTTCCGCAAATGTTGCAAAAGTCCATGAACGGATGTTTTTCTTCCAGGTTAATCAGAATGACATTCTACCCGATCACGAGCTGCTAAACCACATGCGAATTGGCGTGTCCAAGTTGTTTAGCGAGAATACAGCAGCAAAAGAGGTTTATTTCTCTATATGTTTACTTTACTATTCATAATCCTATGTTTTCTCTCTTTCAGATGAATTCAGCCGAAGCGCAAGCAGCTGAGAAGAAACTAGAGGAGATCAATTCTGTTCAAGGGCAGGATGCAACCAAATTAAAACAGTTGCTAGTGAAGGACCAGGTAGCGCGGGAGCTTAAGCCGCTTACGGACAGAGTGAATACGGTGAGTGTCCTGTTAAAAAACCTAATACCTGTTTAGTATGAATTTCTCGAAATTGCGCCTTATTATGAAGGACGACTTCGTGTGAACTTTATGTAACTACTTTGCGTTCCAGGAACTTGTTACACTTAAGAACCTGAAGAAAGAGTTTGTGCGCTTGGTTCTTTCGAGATGTCAGGCTACTATAGATGTCGATGAAGATTGCCTCTCCGGCCCTGCACAAAAACAGCGCATTCAGTTCCTAGAAAATAATTTGGACAAACTTACTAAGGTCCACAAACAGGTACACATTTTAGTTTTAAGCTAGCTCTTTCTGTTTCTACTCGGGCAGTGATCTCTTTTTTGATCGAAGAATTTTATTCTGGAGAACAGTCAGAGTCTCATTTTTTAACAGAAACCCAATTCCTTTCGCTTGAAAACCAGACATCGTATAACGAATGATTTTTGCCCGAAGATTGTACATCCTTGAATTACATCGCCATATTTTCCGATTGTTGACTGTTTTAACTCATTTTAAATTGGTCTATCCAGCTCGTTCGCGATAATGCCGATCTTCGCGTAGAGTTGCCAAAAATGGAAGCACGTCTTCGCGGTAGAGAGGATCGCATCAAGCAACTTGAGACTGCTTTGCGAGACACCAAAGAGCGATCGCAACTCGAGCGGAGAAAATATCTGCAAGAGGTCCTTTCCTGTTGTCTTTCATGTTAATTACTTAATAATTGCGCATGTTTTTTATAAAAGGGTAGAGCTCTCGGCGTTAATCTATCGCTGAGTGATACGCCATGCATTCGACTTCATTAATTGATGTATCGAGTCAGTGCTGCTATCCTTCCAGACAAGTCTGGTACAAATTTGCCCACCCCGGAGTGATGGGTCTGGTGGGGCTGGGGCGCAGGGTCGATCTCATGTGTATTATAGGGCGCTTCAGACCACTGCCCTATACGCCCCCCTTTTTACTAGTGGCCGTATTTTTCTGCTTTGATTCTGGTTATAGTAACAATTATCAGGTTGTTTTATTGTACCTTAGATAGGTTCTAAATACTTTTCATAATGATTGAATCAACGTTAAGGTTGAGCGCATCAAGGATGCTGTGAGACAACGTAACATGCGTCGGCAAACGCCACAAATTGTGAAGCCCATTCGCCCTGGCCAGGTTTACTCTCCTTCGGCTGCTGTTGGAGGAGCCGCACAATCTCCGTCTGTGCGATCAACGAACGCCACTCAAATGAACGGTGAGCCGTCACCAGATGTGCTCCTATAGGGAATCGGGGTCGATGCGTCGAGCGTCGACCATTATGAAGACTGTACTGTAATAAGTGCTAGCTTGAATTATAAGTATTATGCAGAACAAACTTCTCAAAATGGGAGATCAGAGTATACCAAAATGACTATTTCGCAAGTTGTGGCCGATATTTAGTGCTGTTTAGGCATTGTTACTTTTAGAGGCTCTTCTTAGGGGTGTGGTGTAGATTTCCTAAAACTATCCGTTTGTTCAAGCGTTTTTGAGTGGCATAACGTATCCATTGGCAATGTGTAACTATTAGGTCGTAAAATTCTCATGCTAAAAGTGATATGTGGGGACATTTCCTAAAGTTGCAAAGTAGTCTCATTCCCTTCTCCACTCGTTTTGGTGATTGTTCGAAGTGTCATCCATGTTTTCAGATGATAACGGAGACCCATTTTCACCATACAGCAATTTTTCTAAGGTTAACACCAATTCAAAATGTAGCCAGATAGGGTGGAGCAATTTGATTGGTTCGATTTTTCCACACTAAAAGTTGTTTGTTTCTTTTCTTGGATGAACCTTTTGTACCAAACCGACTAACAAGTCAGCACATTGTGTAGTGTTCAACAACTTTTTTTTCAGCACAGTAACTTCGTGCGTGTTCGGAATGCATTCTTCTTCTGGAGTTCCGTTATTTGAAGTTGTATGAAGTTACCAGTCATTTCACCCTTTGGAGCGAATCGTTTGATTGCCCGCTTATCAAGTCATTTTTATTCTTGTTACCCACTTTTGCCTGTTGCATAGTAAGTTTTCTGTGATGACATACCAGTCAAATTGCTCGCATCTAGTTTGATTACATTTCTAGTTGTTATTACAGTACTCATTACTGGTTGTTCCTATTTGTGTGAGGTTGGGGATCTTTGAATGCTTTTTTTTACTTTACTCGTCTCTGTTTTTACCAAATGTCCTCTGATGAGCTTATCTAGATGTAGACTGAATAGTTGTGACTGTGTTTATGGGAACCGCTCAGCTGGGTCTCTGTCTGTGTCACCCTTCTCTTCGCTTACTGTCCTTAAAATAATGGCAGCTTTTCTTATGTTTATAATATAATTACAAACATATTGATTACCCTACTTGCTGCTTAACTTTAAAGTTATTCGCTGTGAATGTAACTCCTAGATATAGTGATTCACGTAGTCCACGCGGTTTGTAGCGTTTGCTGCTTGCTTCGGCAACTTAATAAAAGCTGTTTCCTACGTGTGAAGCAATTGAATAGCACTAACCTGCGAAGTGTTTCAATGGTTTTCCTCAAGAAGTACCCAGATTTACCACTTCTCGGTTGCACGACTACTAATACGTCAGTTGATAACTAACTTTAATGCTTATGGTGCATACACCTGTTGTAGTGAGAACCGATGCCTCCTGTTATTGAAAATTCGTTTGGTTTCCCTATGTCTCTGAGAATTTGATGTACTGTGACATTCTGTATAAAATTTGTATTTTTCTATATAGTTTTTCAAGCAGTCACGGGTTCAGTCCGCTTTTTATCTCAGTTCTGATCGCGTAATATGTGTATTTAACATGGATACACTTTCTTGGTGAAAGTATTCGATTACTTGCAAGTGAAATGGTCGCATGGAGAGCTGCTGGCATCAACTACGTGAGGTTCTCGCAAATTGCTGCGCAGGTAACGAGGCAGTGTTCTAAGGTATGTGGCGAAATTATGTACAGTGTGGTAAGAAGTAGTGTGCGAGTGGGAGGGTTCGTGTAAAACTTGTTTTCTGTGTAGCAATCATTTTCATTAACGTGACTATAGGACGTTAGAACGTCTACGTACTGTATTACGCCAATTCCTGGTATAGTTCGGCAGCAGTGAAGAAGAATTCGCACAAAACCTAGCTTGTCGTTAGCCAAACATTGGTACGTCATGAATTGGTTTGGTTGGAAATTAATCTTTGATATTCGATATTAGCTTTCCAACGGTTTATTGCCTCATCATGGCAAGAAGGTGTTCCTGGATGTTGGACCACAAAGTACAGCAGGGGTCACCCAAGCTGAGAAGGATTCCGGCTTATCCATCAGGAAGCCCATCTAAGGGTAAACCAATGCAATGCTACATTCCACCTCCACGCTGGTGTTAAACTAGTCATATAGTGGCAAATCTCGCTCTGATCCACAACGGCTACGAGTGATTGTGTGGCAGTAACGACGTGGAGCAGACTTTGGCTAGGGTGACCTCGGGACTGCAGAGAACCACAGTGGCTAAACCTGCGGCTCTCCGAAAAAGTGCAGATTATGCTGGGGCTGTACAACCAGTGAAAACGGGCCATCCAATTATCAAAGTATTCTATAAAGTACGTATCATAGCTCATAGTAAACTTTGTGAATTTGACTGAAAATTATGAGGATCTAAATTTTTGCATCCCATCACACGGCGCTACAGCGCTTATAGGCCTCTAGCATTACTGATTCTTTGGGAACAATTTCATCAACAGTTTCATCGCTGAAGGCTTTCTGTCATACCCATGTTGATTGTAGCCGCAGTTATTTATGCATTTTCTCTATTTCCTGGCAAGATATTTCCGCTGTAGGGATCACTTAGAGTTCAAGAAGAGAACAGTGCCTAACTTCGTCCGCCAAGCATGAATCTCTCGTCACAGTTATCTTCAGGCACAAATTTGGATTCAGGACGTATTACAGTGCTTCATCCTTTTCTAACTGTTGAAAATGACGTGTTGGATTTCATAGACATTCTACTTCTCGTAGCATTCAACATGTGCGATTGAGAAATGGTTCTTTTTGCCTCGCCAGTGGAATGCGGATCTTTACCAGACAGAGCAGATTGCGTGTCAATTTGGCTTTTCCAGGCTCTGAAGAAGGCGAAACCGCTGAAACATCAGCTATTGTATTCTAGTAGATTCTACAATGCCAACTTCATGTTTTCTTATCGAAGAAAAACAGAACATTTACCCCTTACCAAATTCCACGCTTGCGAATACGCTTCCAATATCATGTCCAAGTATGAATTTGAAAAGAAAACTGCTTGAGCTTCCATCCATCTTTCCAGTTTACTCTCATAGCATTAGATGAGTTTATGTTAACATGTTAGCATAGAAGTAGTAGTAGAACGTAAATTTAAGGCGAATTCTGCACTTTTGAATGGCGTGCAGTGTTTTCAAAGAAAACACTCAAAAGTTCTATTTTAAACAGAATGAAAAAGCTTGAGAGAAAGGAAACAGGCATAAATGTCTCGCTAATAATTATGAAACTTGGTCGGAATCAAGTTTGTGTGCCGGTAAAAACGTTGGGGCGAAGAACTAATGAGAATATGGATTCTGACGTATCTCTTTGTTTTTTTTTCTTTTGGATGGGATGTGTGCTGTTCTGCATAGTTAGCCTGATGTTTTGTGTTTTAGAAGTCAGATTGCTATTTACAGGGAAAAACTGATGCTAAGAAAGCAAGCAGTGGACCGCTGAAGACAGTTATGTGGGAGAATGGGAAACCAGTGGAGTCTAAAAAATAGATGTTTGTATATCAAAACTAATAGGATTCTGGAGCTGTTATCAAACTGATAGAAATTATAAATAGTGTATTCTTATAACTATGGTGTGATAAAGTTCTCTTCCATTTTTCATGAAAAAGTGCAGAGACATCATCCCGCCGTGAGGTAGCCAGATGTCAGATGGCTAGACGGTTTTTCAAATTGCTAGATGATGTGTGACAGAAGACGAGCAAGTTGGATCTAATCTTAATATGTTGAAGGAAGAGTTGGACTAGTTCTTATCCCGCGGCATCTTTATGAGTGATGTATCGAGTAATATTCGTTTATGAATATTATGTGGTTTGGAATTCGTTTTATCTCACAAGAGCTATATAACCATGCCTATCATATTTAAGTGATAGCAGTTACTTGTAATTGCCTTGGTCTTGAGTTTGTTCGAGCGGGCACCAGAAGTTGTCTTTGTCACGCGCCAGAGCAATCCCAGTAGCCTCCAACGAACGGGAAATGTTGGAAGCATGTTTTTCTTTATCAAGCGCTTTATTTCTAGCGGTTTTTTTGGGCGATTCACCATCCTCACGCAGCTTCTGAACTCTTCCTGACATTAGCGAAGGCTACGCATACTTATGGGTAGATGCGCTCTAATGTACTGGTAATGGCCCGTCCTTTTTTATTGTGTCTTCTGGATCCATCAGTGCCTGTTAAAGTGCCAGAAAATGACAACACCATTTCAAGTACAAACACAAGTTTTCAGAGTAATAGAGAGCTTTACGTTGCAAAGTTCGTTTTATGCACTTTGGTGTTGTGTAATTGAGTTATAGTACATATTGTCCTTTTTTGATGAATTTTAATGGTTTGGTCTTAAGTTATCAGGACAGCAGTTCGTCAAGTCTGCTCTTATGAATTCAAAGTCGGATTTACTACAAGGCAAGAGGCTCGAAACACTAATAAGTTATGAAGTCCAGAAAGTGTTAACGAGCGCAGAGTACGGTTTTGGTTTCGGAAACGCGGTTCTGGTCAATTCCAGGCTAAAAGTGGAGATCGCGGACGTTCTGGCATTGACTACGGTCAATTGAAGATTAGTAGAATTAGATTCAGGCACAATTATTTGAGTACTTGCAGAGGGGCTCGATGTAGGCACCTCAACTGTTTCGGGTGACCTGATGAAAATAAAAAGAAGAAATTCGACAGATGAATGCCGCAGGAATTGAATGACAGCCGGAGAATTCGTCGTTTTGAGGTGTTGACGACGCCTCTGCGCAACAATAACCAGTTCTGGAGATGAACTCCCTGTTTCTGCTGCGCCGATTTGGCACATAGTTTCTGTATTTGCTAGGCGGATTCATGCTAGCGTGTGTGGGTGGGCTCTCGCTTATGCAGATTGTATTCTACGAGTCAATTCGGCCAAAATCCTGTAATTAAGTGACAGGGAAGTATATGGGAGACGGTTAGGAGTCGCTTCCAGCAAATAAGCTCCATGTCCACTCTAGGAGAGCCTGGCAAGCTACCCGTGAGTATAGCCAGCCACCACGTTCATAGCCCAGCAAGCTATACGTGGGTGTCAAAATGCTAAACACAGTAAGAAAGAAAAAACGGGTCTCATTCTCCTGACCCCGAAAGAGTTTCCAATTTTGCAGCGTTGGGTAGGAAGAGTACGTGGAGGCTGCTAAAATCTCAGGGATAATGGAAGCTGCCTAGATTTCAAAGAACAATGGTGACGATCTGTACCTACAATGAACGTACACTTGCATCCGAGTCCTCTATAGAAGACTTGCTCATGCAAGCAAGAAGGTTAAGGTACGACGTCATCGGCCTGGACAAGACAACACCTATTTAACGTCGTCCATGACACTGAAGAAGAACTGTTCCGCGGAACACGCGACTGTGTAGGGGTTCGAGGCGTCGGCATTCTCGTCAACACGAGTTTGTCCATGAACATCGATTCATTCGAACAATTTACAACCCGAATCAGACGTTTACGATTAAAAAGATGTGAATCAATTCCGATTTTGACAATCTTCGCCGTTTACGCGCCAGTATCAAACTATGACGAACAAGAAATCGAAGCGTTCAATATGGGCTTGGAGAAGTTCTACAGAGAAAGCCACGCATTCTTCAAGGTCATCTTTGGAAATTTCAACGTCAAGAATGGACCAAGAAGAACGTCTGAAGAACGTCACATTGGGACCCATGGATTAGAATGGAACGAACAGGCTAAGCTGCTTTTTGAGTTTATCATAGATACCAAGACTATCCATGGCAACTCGCAGTTCCAGAAGCACCACACTCAACACTGGACGTGGGAGTCTCACAATGGAGAATACCGTAATGAAATAGACCACATCATAATAAACAGAAGGTTTTGCCTAACCGATGTCGATATTGTACCAAAACTCTACACGGGATCAGACCACCATCTCCTTCGTGCAAGGTTCTACTTCTCGCGAAAAGGAGAAAAGCCGGTAAATTCAAAAACCGAAGTTCCAGAACCACCGTAAACTGGGACTTATTCAGTTCCCTAGTTGGTTGTTGGGAAGATGCCGATGTCGACGAAGAATATGTGGACTTTCTTAACCTTTTTATTTACTGCCTATTCTTTTCAATGGCAGGGTAGGATGCGAAATATAACTTTCATAATGCTGAGATATTTGCAAAACTCCGGACCGCAGACACCTGCTATCCGGAGTTTGCAAATATCTTAGCATTATGAAAGTTACTGAAAAACTTTGTTTAAAAAGCTGCTATACTTACAGTACGCCACTTAATCATCTTACATGTACAAGCCGTATACACTTCTACACCTCATTCTGTAGGACCTTCAGTTGTCTTCTTCTCAGCTTCATCCTATTTTAGTTGTTCTTCTATCTTTTCTTTGTCTTCCTCCATGAGCGTTATCAACTCCGACTTAGTCATACTCGCTCTTTTAGAGTCGTTTCTGCAGGCTGAGTTAAAAATTCGAGTTTTTCCAATCCATATCTATGTCTTTTTTATGGCAGGTTAACAAAATGTAACTCTGGGTATGAACTACACTAGTATCGTGTCAATGCACACTTCTTTTCTCGGTCTGTTTACTCTCCTACAATTCCAGTTAGGAAAACCAATAAGTAATTTGGTCTTTAATACTCTGTCTTGTCCACCACACGTTGCATGGTCAGAAAAATGGAGTTAGACCAGCAGTGGAAAAAAACAACAATACAAAATTAATCGTAGTCGAATATGCGTTAGCACGCACCTGACGCTCAGTACTGGTGCTTGGAATCCTCTGCATGGA